TTTTGGACCTCACCGACTCCGCACGATTTTTTTTATCGAATCTTGCCGCGTGCACGATATTTTTTAAAATTTTTACTATAGCGTTAATACCATAATAACCACGTATAGTTATATTCCGGTTGAAGAATGTATTTGAATATACAGCGGGCATATAACCACAAAATAGGAAACTATAGCAGAAGTGTAACCCACGAAAATTTTAACTCGCTCACACCATCCTGGCTAGTACAGCCGGAAGTTTTTATCAGGTTTTGATAGGTACAAAGTGCCAGGATGGCGTGATTGATGATCGGACGAATCGCTTGTAAAAACGCGGACAAATACTTGCTTGAGTGAGACTTCTGGTATACCTTCCTATTCTATGATATAACTATCACAGCCCATTTTATACTTGGCCACTGTTATACTTGGCCCATTTTATACGGGGCTATGGTTTACGAAATGTAGACCATAGTCCCAATCAAAATTGGATCAAGTGTATTAAAGTGTGTAACCCATTTTGCATTGGCGTAATGGCATCTATATACAAATTCTCACGGTTCCCAATCGTATCAGTGTTCCCAATACGTATTATAAACTGCGATTTTTATTCAGAATCAGAGAGCGATATTAATGAGCCGGTGGGAAAGGGTATTTTTGTGACCCGTGAATGCAGTGGCGTAGCCAGACTATAATTTTTGGGAGGGCATATATCGAACGCTGAAGGCGTAAGCCTTTTTAGGGGGGGGTCCGGGGGCATTCTCCCCCCCTAAAATCTTTCCCGTGTTTCTGGGGAGAGATTTTGCATAATTCTGAAGATTATTTACTGCAGGAAAGACCTGATTTTTAATGATTTCTCAATAATGTGGATCCTTAATTTGACTCAACGAAGCTTACTTGGTCGCGTGTGAATAGTTAAATCGAAGTTTTAAAACGCATTTTAACCAATAACCACCATAGGCATTATTTTCTGTAGTTAGATTTAGGAAAGATTAGAACTTTTATAGACAATTTGGTGAACAGATGAGATTGGTAGTCACATGGGTAGTCATCGTCCCCCCCTAATTTCTACCCGGATTTCATCTTTTTACAAGGGCAGTCCATCAGCCTATTGGGGGGGGGGGCTGAGCCCCCCCCCTTGTCTACGCCACTGCGTGAATGGTCAATATTTGATCGTGTGAAATGCTTGATTTTACTGTCATGATCTGTGATTTGTTCTACAGCCGTGAGGCGTGATTGTCGATCAAAAAATGCTCCGTGAAATGGGAATTAAGGATGTCTGTTTCGTGAACTGTGATTTTGATTTGTTTATTCCGATCTATTTTATAATAGTGATAATGGACATAATACGCGATAATAATTTATATGATCGATCTCACTCGATTGCACAAGAGTAGAAACTTCGGAGGCCTTTCGGAGATCGTCGGACGTACTCATCACTCAAACTTGTAAGTAGTTTTTAACTGCCAGGCAGAGAAGAGAACTTAAAGCGTAGTACTGTACCATGCATTAAACATAATCTTAAAGCTATTATTATTATATTATTTTTATTAGAGTCTCGTTATCCGTGAAATGTGAAATTGCTTTTTAATGGCACGTGAATTGTGAAACGGTATTTTTTTGTTGTGAAACGTGAATCATACCCCCCCCCCTTTCCCACCCTCATTAATCGATGTCGAATTTACAGAAGTGTGGAACTTTCAGTGTTAAGATTGGGGTTTTTAGGGATACCATTAAAGGGTAATGGCAATAAATTTTTTTATTGCTTTATCTGAAAGAGTAGGAAAAAATAAGCCGATTGGCCATTTACTGCCCTATTCTATCTCATCTGGTTCCAAAGTTATACGCAAAAATGTGCAAAATATAAATTGCTGATTCAGCACAACGTGTGACGTCATTGGTTGGGTAAGTATGTTTAATGAATACTAAACTGAAGCATAGCTCAGTTATTATGGGACCAAATCAAATGAAATTTTGCGTACTGATTGTACATGATGAGATGCATTGAAAAATACTTCTAATTTTGTTGTCAAGGTAATAATGTCGTTCCCAGGCCCCTTGCGCCAATTTTATAAAACAGCTTTATTCATGGTACTTATAAGAATAAAATAATGTTAGAAGTGTGTGTACCATACCTATGCATGCCAAAAGTTTACTTGCATGATAATAATTCGAAAATGACATACACATAGATAAATGCAACTAGTTATTCAAAATCAGTGTAAGGGGCCTGGGAACGACTGCGTTGCCTTGACAACAAAATTAGAACTATTTTCCCATGCATCTCATCATGTACTATCTGTATGCAAAATGTCATTTGATTTGAGCCAATAATAACTGAGCTATGCTTCAGTTTACTATTCATTAAACATACTTACCCAAGGGAGCACGCCAGAAATATTTGTGTAAATTTATACTAACCTTTTAATGACATGTAAATGTTTTCAATTTTCATCGGCCGCCATTTTGAATGTTGAAAGCGGTATTAGCTTATCGCAGGCGCAATAATTTATGTTCATCTTTGACATTAATTTATGTTACACGATGATATTCCGAAGGGCGGCCGAGAAAGATCCGAAATTTAAAATAAGGCGGAGAAATAATAAAAAATAAAGAGGGGAGTGAAACGGCCGAACATGTGATGGGGTACTGGCCAATGACAATGCGTATATCCAATTTCGTTATCTGGCCATGCTCGTTGACCAAGAACTGTCGAATCTGAAATATATCAAAACTTGTATTGATTTGCATCGTTGCTCGCCAGCAGTGAATTTTCGACAGCAGAGAAACAAAAACATTTGCGAATGCTGGACACAAAATACAGTATTAATAATTCATGAAGGAAATTCAAAAGAAATGAATGTTTAATCAATGTATGTAAATCGTCGGATAATAGATTATTAGATTTGTAAATTGTCCTCATTTACATAAACTTCAGCTTCGATTTTCTCGGCTTAGACAATGTTTATAAATTACTTCGCCAATGAACTCATATGATGGGTCGTCTTTTAAGCACGTTAAAACACGAGCAGCCGATGTTTATCTGATATACAAACTCTCGCCATTGTCCCCAATTTTAATAATATATTCTAATGTGACTCGCTTGAACTAATTATAGTAGATCAAATATAAATCAACGGTAAATCCGAAAATAATAAAAAAAAATTATTTTCTACAGTATATTATATTATATTTGTTGTTCTACAGTATATTATATTAAAATACTCAGTGGTTCCCGTAATAGTAGGTCTCATTTTGTTTCCGGTTTGTTCCTAGCAACATCAAATGTTCCTAGTAACAGTCAACCAGCATCAGTGGATAATAGTTTGGCCGTTTCACTCCCCTCTTTATTTTTTATTATTTCTCCGCCTTATTTTAAATTTCGGACCTTTCTCGGTCGCCCTTCGGAGTATCATCGTGTAACATAAATTAATGTCAAAGATGAACATAAATTATTGCGCCTGCGATAAGCTAATACCGCTTTCAACATTCAAAATGGCGGCCGATGAAAATTGAAAACATTTACATGTCATTAAAAGGTTAGTATAAATTTACACAAATATTTCTGGCGTGCTCCCTTGACTTACCCTACCAATGACGTCACACGTTGTGCTGAATCAGCAATTTATATTTTGTACATTTTTGCGTATAACTTCGGAACCAGATGAGGTAGAATAGAGCAGTAAACGGCCAATCGGCTTAATTTTTCATGCTGTTTCAGATAAAGCAATAAAAAATTTTATTGCCATTACCCTTTAAGGTAATTTGTGGATAATTGAATTATTGAAGTCAAAGTTGTCAGAACTGGTTTGTATCGGTTTGTATTTTGCATGTATACCAAGGCAGAACCGAAACACTCAACAGAAAAAAACTAACTAAGGGAAACTGAATTTTTCTTTCAATATAGAGTATTGCTAATTTAGAATTTTGTTGTGCTCGATATTTTTTTTTGCTGGTGTTAGTGATGTTCGATTTTTTTTTCTTCCATTCGAGACATGCTCGATATTTTTTTTCGGATTTGCGCCCCCCCCCCCCATGAAAAATCAAATGGTCCGTCCCTAACCTCTAACAACTGTGTCCCCAGATCCTGCTGCAGCTTACTTGGCAGTGGCCCTATGTACCTCCTTGCTGTCCATTAATCCCTCCCCCCTCACACCAACTGCCCCCCCTTAAACCAACACCCCACACACACACACACACACACACCAACTGCCTCCCCACCCCCTGAGCAAAATCTGAAAATCCATCTAGTCTGGTGTTTATAGATATTTAATGAGTTAAAAAAGACAGGAAATGGCCAGTACTTACCCCAATTAAAAGAAAGATTGTTAAAACAATGAGTATTAGTATTGGAAGCCTTGCCATATCTGCTGAGATAACAAAAACAAACAACTTGTTAAAGGATTTGCCTCATCATGTTAACAGTTGTTCAACATAAATAAATTAGAGCTGACATCTGGAGACAGTTTGCCATGATCAACCCACAATAATCAAATATTCTACTCCTCATTATATGCTCATTTTTATGGGTCAACAAGAGCAAAGCTGCCCTCTGTTTAAATGCCCTTCTGGACTTTAGTTGTGACAAATAAAGTCGAGTAGACAAAATGTCAACATTATTTACCAAACGTCCGCACGCGTCATTGGCAAGCCGCCATGTTTTGTAAAATAATGTGGTCTAATCAAGAAATTACTCGCCACAAATATTCTCATAAATTTGTTTTGGAAAATAGAATATCACTTGAATATGTATTAAACTCTCGTCTATAAATCAAATTATGCAATTATGTTTCTTTGATGGAGTGTTTTGATGAAGTACCGAAGTACAATTTCTGACATCATGAAATTATGCACTTGACAAGACGAAATTGGCGAAACAGAATATTAAATTTGACACGCTTTTCCGTTTTTGATAATCTCCAGGCCACCTCTGCAGGCCACTATATTATCAATATTAAAACAAGCACAACATCTGACAAAAATATTTGCGAAATCTGACATAAATCTAATATAATAAACCAAAAATATAGCATGCTTCAATTTTTGCTGACCTCATCACACGATCACCATACAATAGATAAGAGTTTTTAACAGCAAAATATTTCTCTTTTCTTGACTAAAATAAAGCAATACGTACATATTTTACCAGGTAATAACCAACTCTCTACACTTACCGGAAAATTATGGTTTTAAAACTTGAAAAACATTGAAAGAATATCTTGAGCAAATTTAGAACGTTCTTGCTGCAAAAATATTTTCGAAAATGAAAATATATTGCGTCATTGGCAGCAGCGCCGTAGCCTGGGGACAAATTCACCGTCGCTTGCATCTACAGATGAACAGTGCCAGATTTAAACGGTCCAATAATCACGTGAACATTTCACGCTTGTCAAGAGCAATAAAATATACTGGAACATTTACAGCAAGCAGTCTTCAACTCTAAAGCCAGGTTCACAACTTCACACGATGAAATAAGCATAAGGACAATTGACGAGTTCCATTCTCTTGCCGCATCTTGGGGTGACTTCATAGAAGGGTATACGCGTCACCCGTCAATGGGTTGAGAGGTTTTTGAGATGAATTATTTGAGAGTGGGACATTCGATAGAGATTCCAGCTAGGAGACTTGTCATTCACCGGTGCATCTTCGGCGAAAATACGAAACCACTAGAAGAAAAGAACAGGACTATACTGGTTAACTATAACATCACGATAGTGGTTAGTGAAATGAAACCTGCCTAGAATTGCTGAGCCTAGCCAAATACTGAGCAACTGAGGCTAATGAGCTGCTGTCAATGTTGTCCCACACGCCAGAAAAGAAGAGTACCTTCATGTTTAACACCAAGACTGACTTTCTTCTGTACTTGTGAAGTTCAAGAATAGAAACTCTCGTTGCTTCTCGTGTAGTTATAGGCAGTAATGAAATACCTTGGGCTTGGCGGAAGATGATTTCATTGGTTAAAACATGACATCTTGTACGATGTAACTGGTTAATTCAATTCACGCAAATTAACCAAACGTTTTATCTCACGCAACTGTAAAAAGTTTCGCGCACGGAAATATTTTTTGAACCCTAGAGTAGACGAAACTTATTTATAATAGATAGACATTATTTGTAATAGATAATTAAGAGAAACCAGTTCTGAACTATTCTCCATTGTTTTTATGCAAGCTTTGCAAATTTGATGTAACAAGAAATCGATTAAAAAAATATCGATGGACAGCAAATCTCGTCAATCGGAAACTGTTTGAATCAATGCAATTTTTAATCATGGTGAATGAATCTACTTGTATTTTCTTGTCAGCACATTGTAATACCATGCCTGAACTTGCCCAAAACCCGCACAAAATGAGGTATTTCTTATATATAAGGCCCGTTCAAATGATGTTGAATGAATATTTAGAATTAAGTCCAAGCCACTGATAGCAAACCAACATCATGTCCAAACGAATGGCGAGGCTGGCCATGGTCATGCTATGCTAATAAAATATCGGTGAAAATTTGCATAGAATGACTGGATGAGCTGTTGCTATGGCTAGCCTCATCATTGGTCCAAACAGACCCAACAATGTCGCATCTAACAATGTATTGTAGGATGACGTTGGACTGCTTTGAACGGACCTTAACAGATAAATCTGATTAAATTTATCCGTTTTGATAATTTTTAGATATGTCCCAGTATTAAATTGATTATATAGCAGCTTGTAACTGCATTAAAAACTCATTAATAATTCATGACCATCATTTCAAAGAATGGTTCTTCATACAGTGCCTCTATTGTGCGAGTTTTAACTGTTTCATTATTGTAATATAATTTCTGAACACAGATACTAAACATAGATGGGTTTCATAAAGTGTGACAGTACAACACATCGTAGTCAACTCACTCAACTATAATTAAAATGAAAGACAAAGTGACGAAATGTTCTCTTCGATGTTTTGCAGCAAATACATGTACTGGGAACGTTTCCCATCATTTCCACGTTGTGACTGGAAACCAGGGTATATAAGCGCCCTGCTGAAAACATGGAAAGCCGACCACTATGTGTTACACCGTATAAAACACGTGACTGAAACCCACCAATTAACTTCGACTATTTATTAACACGAGACACAAATATAACCCTACAAATCCAGCCTAGACCTAGGACCCTCAGTGCTTTTTCATGTGAGATGACTGGAACCTAGGCAATTTGGGGGCGGGGCAGAGGAAGGGCGAAGCGAGAAATGTAAGAAATCCCACTTAGTGACGTCATTGAAGTGAATTAACCTGATGAATCAAGTGTCGTCTGCCGAGTAAAGGTCCTGGGTCTAGACTAACACAAATTTAATCATCTAAAAGCCCTGTTTATACGAGCAAATGTTATTTGACAAATTTCATATGTCAAAGATATTTTGCTCGTGTAGATGATACATTCGTGACAAATTTATTGTGACAAATGCATTTAAACACAAGCTAGCATGCTAGCTTTTCATCAAATGCACTTGTCATATTAAATTCGTCAAATAAAATTTGCTCTTGTAAACGGGGCTTACAAGTATAATCTGCAAAAATATCAAAAACATTTGAACTGGTTTACATCACCAAACAATCTTTCTTGTCCTTCGGTTCTCCAGACGATCGTGGTGCTGACATTTGCCTCACATTACCTCTTGAGGGTACAACACTTGGTGGTGGTGGGCGGGCGGGGTAAGGAGTGTACTCGGGCGGAGGAACTGGGGCTGGCGCTCTTTCTGAGTAGAGTGGGGGAGCTTTGACAAAATCAGGTGGGCCTGAAGGGGTATTTGGGGGTAATGGTTGTTGTTGCAGTGCAACAGATGCTGTGTTGGGAATTTGGGGTACATATGCTGGCGAAAGTGGATGATTATTAGGGGGTACATATGTAGGTGGGGGTATTTGGGGGTAATTGTGTCGTGGTGTAGCTGTCAATCCATGGTTATCCTCAACGATTTCAAAATCTAGAGAAAAATTATGAAAATCACGTGTTTGCGTTCGTTTTGCATCAGACATTACTGCCACGATCGTAATTGCACATTTTTGGACCAGGAACTTGTCGGGGTCGACGCTCTTCGAAAAAAGCCTAAAGGCCCTGTTACACGGTGCAATTTTTCATGCAACTTGTCTCGCAATGTTTAAAAAAGATTTTGATAATGCATTGCAAGAGGTGTTACACGCTGCAATGATTTTCATGCAACTCGCAACGATACGGGACAGAGGCATGCGAAGAGAATAGGGAGAGGCGCTATTTGGCGCCAAATTTTAATTAAAGTAAAGCGTGTACTGGGGAGAGCCAATAGGAACTCTCCAAGCATTAAACATTGCGAGACAAGTTGCATGAAGCCATGTTACACGCTGCAATGCTAAAAATAATTAGTGCAATCGTTGCCAAAAGTAGAACCGACTTCTACTCTCTGCAATGCTTCATGCAACTTGTCTCGCAACGATTTTGACCATTGCAAGGCATGTTAAGGCCCTGTTACACGGTGCAATTTTTCATGCAACTTGTCTCGCAATGGCGTTGCGAGACAAGTTGCACGAGTCATTGCACCGTTTAAGGCCATGTTACACGGTGCAATTTTTCTTGCAACTTGCAATGCAATTCTACTCTTGAGAGATGTTAATTAGTGAAATCAGTGAAGAATTTTCGATATGTCGAGAAAACGGAGTGTAATGAAGCGGAGTGTAATGAAGACTCGTATTTGGCAATTTTACATTTCTCAAGAGTAGAATTGCATTGCAAGTTGCAAGAAAAATTGCACCGTGTAACATGGCCTTTAAAGGCTCGTTTACACTTGCAAATTTTGCTGCGAGTTTAGGTGCGATTTTCTTCTTCTGCTTGATGTGAACGAGTAGATAAGTCAATTTAGTCATGAATGTTCACATTGCTGTACACATACTCCGAACATTCGCGACTCCTCTACTGGTTCACATGCATCAGAAGGACAAAATCGCATTAGAAATCGCAGCAAAAATTGCAAGTGTAAACAGGCCTTAAGGCTCCTCCATTTTGGGTGCGATCCTCATGAAATGTGGCACGGTGTCCGATTATTTAATTCTCGATCTCAACGTACAAGCAATTCTTGTCTGTACGCGTCGAATAACAATATGCATATTATTAATATTCCCAGACAATCTCACCACAACAAAGACAGTCATGGACCATTAAATTTTGATTAAGGGGTTGGGGTTTGTTAACGACCTGGTTAGTGACCTGAAACCTCAATTGCCCACAAAAAATAATTATTCACGCCCTCGAGCATTTTAACTGAACAAATATTAAAAACCACTACGCTCATTACATTAAACTACACGGCGTAATTTGCATGAATAAAGAAGCGAACGCTGCCAATATAAAACACCTCCTCTTCGAGAACCATTTATTGACCTAGTGTTTCGTTCGTCATTTAGATCATTTTAACATATTTTAAAAATGCCTATAGTCGAACCAACATTAAGGGTTTTAAACAATGCAAAAGCTAGAGTTCTAAACCGATGGATCAACGTGCTGAACAATTCGGGAGTCCCAATAGCATGTCAATAGTTAACTCAACAAAGTTACGATGCTACAAAATTTCGCCCAAATTTTGACTTAGAAAATATTAGGCTTACCCAGATTTTATTATAGATTCTACTACGCTTGCCCGTTGCCCGGATTCTTGAGTCAAGTAAAGCTGAGCTTGCCTTAGCAAATTTCGACTAAAATTTGACTTAGAAAATTTCGGGCTGATCGAAAAAAATTTTTCGTCATAGACCGACTCAGAAATGTTCAAAACACATATTGATACAGAAAGTTTTGGCTCAGGAGAATTTTAAAGCACATTTTGACATGACTTTCTGAGTACCGAGCCGTATGCAAATTAATCCTTGCCCGTCCTTTAATATAGATTCCACTACGCTTGCCCGTTGCCCGGATTCTTGAGTCAAGTAAAGCTGAGCTTGCCTTAGAAAATTTCGACCAAAATTTGATTTAGAAAATTTCGGGCTGATCGAAAAATTTTTTTCGTCATAGACTGACTTAGAAATGTTCAAAACGCATATTGATGCAGAAAGTTTCGGCTCAGGAGAATTTTAAAGCACATTTTGACATGACTTTCTGAGTACAACTAGCCGTATGCAAATTAATCCTTGCCCGTCCATTAATATAGATTCCACTACGCTTCTATACTATAGTCATCAAAGTAACTAAATTGTTCTCTATAGGTATTCATTTTAATACACCCTTCCGAAAAGTACGCCACTTTGGCTGTAGAGCCTCATTTTCGTGCAGGTGACATTTGTTAAAGTCCACGGCTCAATCATTCCCTTAGAATTGACTGGTATTGGCCCGGCTTTGGTCATGTCAATACATTTGAAGTTGACCATCAGATGGTGATCATGCATTTCGCACCATATAAAAAGCGCTATAACCATCTATGGTATTATAAGTAAATAAATAAATCAAACCTTGTAGCATTGCTTGTGTCTCGTTCACCGGAGTAGCGGCGTACAAAATATCAAGAACGAATGCTGGATAACACTGGTCAACATTTTCAATCACAAAGACAGAAGGATCATCTTTGTTGTCTACCAAGGAGTCATAGAACTTGCCATCATGACGACGAGGGAATTCTTTTAAACCACGTGTACCTTGGGTAGAGATTCCAAGCAAGACTTGACATACGATGAGAGAGACTTGAGAGCCTGCCAGATGCTCTCTACACCACTGTATACATAACGACGCATTCGATGTGAAGTAATATCCTGGACCGAATGGTTTATGTAAGATTCTGCTAATACTGCTATCATGGATATTCCCTCTCATAATTCTCTCAATATCTTCAGATAGACATGGTATAAACAGCCTACGATCATTCATATTTTCTCCTATTCGAAGCTCATCTGTCATGGATTTCTTTCTGCTGTTGAATAAAAGAAGAAGTCTGAGAACCGTATATAACGGTACAGGGGCAGATTCACTCTCAGCGTTCCAGAGCAGTAGATGGTGCTCAACTTCAAAAATGTTGGCAGTTCCAGCAGCAAGTAAATTAAACTACATCTTTCAATTCTATTCACTTGACATCAAAAACAAGACTACTATACATAGAATGTAATAAATTAACATTATTTTCTGCACGTCCATTTTTAGAAAGGTCCACATCCTGGATTTTTGCTTTGCAACATCAGTCGCAGGCTGTCCAAAATTGCGCCGCGTTAGCGCAAACTTTATTTTACGGTAATCTGATTTGGTTTCCCTAATTACCCTGAAGTACTTAATGTAAGTCCGTAATCTCTTGACTCTATAATTAACAACTGTGTTAACAGTTAATAATATTTAAACGCGTTCTGCGATCTAATTGGGTTACTTTACAATTCATTTGTACTAGTTAAAACATGAGCAGCCTATCTTTATCTGATATACGACCCATCTTGTGAGTTCATTGGCGAAGTAGTTTTAAAACTAAACATTGTCTAAGCTGAGAAAATCAAAGCTGAAGTTTACGTAAATCATGACAAATCTTTATCTGATTTACAAACATTGATTAAACATTCATTTCTTTTGAATTTTCTTCATGAATTATTAATGAGTTTTTAAGCTCATATAAAATAATAAATTCTAAGTTCTTCGGACAAGTTTTTGTTTTGGTAAACCCATGCAGGTTACCGCAAAGGTGATTTTGCGGTAACCTAATTTGGTTTCTGCCGCAAGTAATTTTGGAAAACCTGTCATAAACAACAGTCGTTTGTCAAATTCCCTACCTCTTATATTTATCCCAAAGAGCATCACTAACTATCTTTTCTATCTGGTTTATAACCAGAGCGTCTTGGTTCGTAGAACTACCCAGAAGTTTTTCAATCTCCTTGTATTCTAGGGAACCAGGTTCAACTCTCGTGCGATGACAGTTAGAAGACTGAAGAGGAGCAGTCTCTCTAACTGGCTCTGAAGTGGGTGGAGGAGGTTGAGTTGATACTGGTGAGCTTGGTGTGGATTCAGTCTTTACTTCTGGCGTCTGCTGTTCTTGTTCGCTTCTAACAATGAAATAAACATGAATGAAATAAACATGATTGAAATAAACATGAATGAAATAAACATCAATGAAATAAACATGAATGGAATAAAGATGAATGAAATAAACATGAATGAAATAAACATGAATGAAATAAACATGAATGAAATAAACATGAATGGAATAAAGATGAATGGAATACATGGCAATGCGTGACTGGGTGGCCTTATTGGATGTTCACAACAATGAAAAGAAATTATTCTTGAGCCGAAAGGGGTGCATAATTTTCCGCGCGTAATACTAAAATACTCAAAATTTGCTCATTTACAGAGTTTTATTTTTCGTATTTTACAACATTTCGCAACCAAACTTTGCATTTTACTAATTTTAGGATGCTCTTTTGAGCTACAATGATATATTTCGTCTTTCTTGTCTAGATAAAAAATTAGTCGATGGCTGGAATTATCCAATGGAACTTTCCGATCACTGGATCATGACTGAATAACATAGGGAATAGTGGTATCCTGCCTGGCACTCTTTTCATTTTCTTTACCTCTTTTTCTCATTAACTTCACTCTCTGTCAAGAAAGCAGAGGGCCTACGTCGATGACTTGACCACCAATCAACCGGAAAGTTGCCTTCCAAGAACAATTCCTCAAACACATTTGCCTAAAAATGACAATCATATTATTAATATTGAATTGTCCATCCTGTGTTACTGACAGCCTGGACAAGCATGACTTACTTTACTAGTTTCAAGTTTAATCCATTTTGGTAATTCCAGTTTGTACCACATCCATGGTGTCTCACACCAAGCTTTACTGCCATACTGGGTCGTCTTTTGTTGACACTCCAAACGACGAATTTTAAAATCTTCACCAGCAGAAGGATGGCCCGACATTGACTGGAAGTCTAAACGAACACTGTTGAAAAAAATATAATTACAAATCTGATTGGCTAATATAGTAGCGAAGAACTTAGGCCTAGCTCTCAACTCTGGGCTTATTTTAGCCCAGAGACGGATTTTCATATTTTCGTTTGGGGGTGGATAAATATCTGGGGGTGCTGCTGATGGCTTTGGTCGGGGCATGGTGGCAACGCCCGGAAAGGCCAAGGAAAAAGTTTAACAAAATTTGTTTTCTAGGCCTGCATGGCAAGATCTGAGACCATAATATTGGTAATTTTACAAATTTAGTAGTAAGAATAATCAAATATGAAACTATCAAAAATTTTGCAGGGGTGCAAAATGCCTTTGGGGGGTGCAAATAATTTCTGGGGGGTCCCCCCCCCCCGCAAAATCTGTGCCTGTTTTAGCCGCAGCTTGTGAACAAATTGACTGTTTAATAAACGAGTTGTTAGCAACTTATCTAAGTCGCAGCTTATTTAGGCAGACTGGCTTATTTTCGCTCATATAAATGGCCCTATTAATAAGCATATATTCCCGTGCATACCTCGACACATCTCCAGGTACTTTTGTTGAAATATTCAATTCCGCAGCAGTGCAGTTGACATCACAAAAATATTTCTCAATATTTTCACAATCTGTGTTATCAAAACTGCACCATGAACTGCTTGATAGCTTCAACTGCCAGCAATAGGGCAAAGTAAAATGAACATTACTTTGTGAACACTTCTTACGGCGACACCGCTGCATCAGAAACTGAGGACAAATATTTGGAGTGACTTCTTCTATTTCTTGGGCTAATAAATACATTGTAAAGCAAATTTACACACTGCCATTCATTAGGACAGAGCCCTAAAGGGTGGTCTTTGAATGGGGGCATATCTCCAAAGTGGGGGACTAGGGTAGTTACTGTAGGTTCTTAAAGAGGGGGACATACTGTACTTCTGATAGGGTCACATTCCCATCAAAGTTAGGAGCTGAGGTTACTGAATGCACGGAGATCTCAAAAGGAAATGCAGATGCATAGGTTATCTGCTTCGATTAGTATTAAAGCTACTTCGAATACCCTGTACAAACTCTGTCTTAACAATGTGTGGAAAAAATTTGTAATTATGTATTTTTGACTGGTGCAAATAAATTCTTCTTCTATATCTTTGAAGGGAAGCTGTGATAGGGACAGATACAGATAGATAGGGACAGATAGAAGCATGCATGCACTTGAATGCTGAAAAGTGCAACCAAGGTACACTTCTCAAGGGAAGCATGTACAAATACCTGCAAGATGCAACACCCTAGAAAAGCTATGTATCCCCAGGGTTTACATTCTAATAAACTGAATATTACCTGGACTATCAACCTTCTGGGTTAAATCAATATCCATCAAATTTCTTGGTTCATCTGACGCTTCTCTCTGGCCCTGCACCTCCCTGGGTAGCCCTCCACCCTGTCGTGGGCCACTGCTTCGTCTTCGCTCATTCTCAAAAACAAAAATCATCTTCTGAATGTACCTGTAGTTCGGCTTTTTACCAAAAAGACGATACATTTTGAGGATTTTTGTTGCAGGACCTTGCTTCAAGGCTTCCTCGTGACCATGCCTGCACAGCTTTGCTTTGCAAAATTGATGCCCTTTTGCAAATTCTTGGCAAATATGTAAATTGGGGCAAAATTCACCTCGGTTGCAGCGTCCTCGGTTATAGAAATGACAAACTGTTGGGACTGAAACACGGATGAGGGTTACTAGCTGTTCTGACGTAAGGTCTTGCAAGCCCATACGCTTCGCAGCTTGGGTGACTGTATCAGAACTAACATCATGATTTAGATGGCAAGCTTCTCCTTTCGGGCAGTGACTTTCGATATGGTTGCGGCATATATGTAAGAAGCCACAATTGGAATTATTGCAACCTCGTTTCTCACCATAATCAAGACATATCCGAGACATTTTTGAAAATGCACTCACAGTATCGATCTTTCCCTGCCCGTTTCGATGGAAGATAAACTTCTGTGGGTGACTTGCAAACCATTTCTCAACATCACCAATACCATCATGGCCAAACAACTCTTTATCTTTCGAGATTTTACTAAATAGTGCAATACCATTATATTTCTCCAGGATTGTAATGAAAACCTTTTTATGCAGGTCGTCTTGCCAAACTGAACTTTGGGAACTAGCTACAGAACTCTGATTGCTGACATGAGAAATCTCAGAACTCGATGTAGAGTCGGACCGCTTGCGTTGTTCAAGATTTCCAAATCCACTTTCTGCTTCCTGTTGTGTGGGACATCTCATCCAATTTTCAACTTTCTGGATACCAACAAGAGACGTTGCTAGGTTACTTTTCTGAATGTTTTCAAAGCTCAACAATGGTCTTGCATCATGACTTGAACTGCCAATTGAAGCACTGTCCTGATACCTTGCCATTCCCACCTCAACACTTTGACTGGACTGTGATTTCATTACCTGGGCATGAGCAATGTTAGCCTTGACAAGTTCGACTGACAATTTCTGAGATGGACGCAGAGCATACTTCTTCAACAAATTAATATTATGTAAATCACCAACCACATCATGACTTAATGGACAGAAAGGATTTCCACATTGATTTAAGACATAACCACCACAAACATGTAAAAAATGACATTTGTCACCCCTTGGACACACACCATTTTTATTGTAGTCTGCACAAACACGAGGGAAGCAACTTTTCAAGAGCACATTGACAACAACTTTATCAGTTTCTTTCCTCAGGGCACCCATCTTATCAACAATAATTTTGTTGTGTGCATCTCGGATATCATGTGACAGCTTACACTCTTCCTTATTATGAGGGCGTTGGCATACAAAAGCCTTGCATATATGCAGAAACTGACATTTTTTATTATGGCATTGACCATGTGCAATGTAATGTTGGCAAAAACGTGGAGAAAAACTGAGCTTAACTTTAACTTGCCCCGGTTTGGAGAAATCGTCTGGTTTGGGGACAACCTCAAAAATGCCAGCTTTAGCATTCAACCATGCTGACAATGCGTGTGGGCCATGGACTGTTTTATCTATCAGCGTGTCTGCTTGCTTAACGAGATTTGCAAATGGGACAGTTCCACCATTTTGAAAAATAAAACTTGTTACTTTACTGATGGCATCGTTAGCACTGGCATTGTTACCACCGACATTGTTAGGACTGGCATTGTCAGTTCCTTTCAAATGAACCCACTTGCCTAACCCTTCCAAATCCATGATCTCAAATTTCAAAGGGAAAGCTGCCAAGAAAGATATTAAGGCTTCTTCCTCACATAAGGGATATATTACATCCTTCGCTTTGAGAAGAGATTCAAATGGGACTGTCCCTCCTTCATTCTTAAGTTTCCCTGAGATTCTCAACGTAATATTATCTGCCATTTTCAAAAGATGAACAGGATCAGTCTCATCTTTTGCTTTCTGAGGCGTTGCCTTGCCACGACTCTCCCTTTTTTCGCTCGTAAATACTGGAGCAGGTAGCAATGAACGAACGTGTGGCAATGGCGGCCCAGGTTTCTTTAAATGTCTCGCCTTAGCCAACACTTCAACTGAAAGCCCACCACTAGCATCTTTTACCTCTTTAAACCACTTTTCATGCTCTGCCAACCACTTTCTGATATGTTTCTTATCTCGTAACTTCTCGGGAAATATCCGAGCTTTATTCTTACAAATAATCGCAAACAAATGGCCATTTTCCTCTCTATTATCGACAGATTCAATCAATTTTTGTGCAATTTCAAAGTCTTCCGCTCTAGTTGTGGTTGGCAAAACATAGTTAGACGCTTCTACTTTTAATTTTATCTTACCGAAAGGATTTCCAGTTTCACCTTTGATAATTTCAAAGCGTTCAGGGTGCTCTTTAAGCCATGCTTTGACTTTCGTCTTGGACAAATCGACTGGGTAGAACTCCTTTGTCCCTTCCCAAAACGTCTGAAAAACTGCTTCGTTATCCTTTTGTTTTTTCAAAAACTTGCAAACTTTCTTCAGAACGCCTTCGTCCATCTTTATGGAAGGTAAATGGTGCAAAAATGTGTTTTAATTCGGAATTAAAGTGCAGCCATATGGCCCAAATGTTACTTTTGTTTACTGTTTCTTGGAAGAGAAACCAGTCAAGCTTCCGGGGGTTAATTCAGTCGGCATGTACTAAAAGGCGAAACGTCGAAACGAAACGACCGAAACGAAACGGCCGAAACCATCGAAACCACCGAAACGACCGAAACGAAACAACCGAAACGAAACGACCGAAACGAAACAACCGAAACGAAACGACCGAAACGA